TAATTTCGAATGCATAAACGAAGCAGAGTAAGTGCAAATTTGTTGGGTAAAAGAAATTTATATGAAATGGATTAAATATGATAGCAAAAAAAAAAAAAAAAAAAAGAGTAAATAATATAATTTTATATAGCATCTATTTAAATTCGCATATAAAAATGTATAATTGAAATAAATTATAGATATAAAAACTATTAGTAAATATGATACCATAAATATAAATTTTAATAGGTATAGAAAAATATAAAACTATATCTGGGTCTCTTTTGAATAAATAATAAATACTGTTAATGCTATGTTAAAAAAGAAGTCTGTTAATTTCTATATGTTTATTTATTATTTAGAAGTTAGAGATAATATAAAATGAAAACTGATTTATAAGGAAAAACACTTCAGCATGTAATTAATTTATAATTCTGAATTAAATTTATTTAATCTTAGCTTTATTAAATCAATTGATTAAATTTTAATTCAATGCGACATACAAATCTCAAATCTCCAATTTGCGAATACTTAGTAAACATAATTAAATAATTCAAATACGTTTAGCCAATTGCCTTTGTGTCTCGGCCAAGTACAGCTTAAATCCAGCCAAAGAGAAATATAATCAAATGAGACGCTCAAGATTCTGAGAATTGTCCAGGGCATATCCAGACAGAGATATATATGTATATGTGTCTGCACACATACATTCTATACAGATATATGTATTTGGATCTATTTATGGGCTTTTGTGTGCTTTTGGCTGGCAGCTGCTCGAGCTGTTTGCAGTTAACTGTTAAACACTCTTGTGGCCATAAAGCCGCACACATTAAATGCGCCGTCGAATAGTTTGGCTTGTAAATCACATCACACATACGCAGCGTGTGCCCAACTTGAATCCTTATCCGCTACTCTCTCTCTCTCTCTCTCTCTCTCTCTCTCTCTCTCTCTCTCTCTCACTCTCTATTGAGTACGACTCTGTGTGTGTGTGTTTGTAGTTGTGTGCATTAGCTTGAGCTGCATTTTAATACACACAGCGCTAATAATTCACACAATAAGCTCGAAGGCTCGCAGGCAATGCCATTGCCATTGCCATTATTCATAGGGCAGCCAAATAAGCGCTGTGCAGGTGGTTAGAGTATGGACAGGGCAGCGAGTTGCTAGCCGAAACATATGTCTGAGCAGGTACAGCAAACACACACACAAACACACACACACATAGACTACATATAGACACAGGAGTCTGACTAAAGGAATGGGCACAAAAATATGGCCAGCTTTACTGCTGCCTGATATCAAGTTTGCTGGGTAAGGTAAGGAAAGGAACGACGCAGACGGACACGTTTATAGTATTTGCAAATGCACTTTTCACATTTATTGTTGCTGTTGCTGTTGCTGTTACCTGCTTGTTGGCAAAGTGTTTTGTTGCCTAGACTACATACTTATATACATTTCTATATATACACACACATAGATATACGTGTCTGGGCTCTGGCAAACATGAGCTGCAGCCTGCTGCAGGCAACGGCAACGGCAACAGCTGCAGCTGCTTCTTACATTTATGCGCTTTGGTTAACTGAGTTTTCACAGAGTTTACTATATTTTTTTCTGCTTTTTTTTTTTTTTGTAAGTTTTTAAGTTTTTATGACAGCTTGCTGCGCTGTGAGTGCCGGGTTACACGGCATCAGCATCTGTTCTCTCTGCCAAAGTACAACTTGTTTGCTGGCTTAGAGGATTTGCCTCCTGTGTGCAGGCGCCTGCTGTGTGCTGCCAGCTGCTGTCAAATCAATTAATTATGTGCCATTGCTTTACATTTGTAGGTGGCCCAGGCATAAAAATAGAAAAGGCAGAAGAAAATAAAATCAAATGCCAATGAAATTTGTCTCGGACAAATTTCATTCTCTCTGGCCACAAAACATTTGTGTACACATGTCTCCATGCATATATATATATATATATATGTTGTATTTCGTATGTTGTTGACTGGGTATTTTTCGATTTTATTGCTCAATGAATAGAGTTGCCACAGAGGAGGAGTGGCAGCAGGAGCAGGAGCAGCAGAAGCAGAAGCATTTGCAAATCCAGCCTGGATTGCATTAATGTGCGGCATTTAAATGCTTTGCGACCACAAAACACAACACCAAGCAATAGCCAAAGCCAAAAAGGGGACATTCTGCATTTGCATGAAAAATCACATACACACACACACACACACAGACCACACCAGCTCAGTAGCATACGCCCACATAGAATACGAGCGGCGAACACAAGTTTAGGGCTTACTCGACTCGCATATACTGGCACTCGTTAACATTTCTCGAACTACTTATAAGTAATATTATTTGAGTTCCATTTATTAGGAAAGTTATTCCTAAAAGGTGTGTTAGAGCTAACTTTCGTAATCAATGTAATACAAGTAGCATTACTTATAAGGAGTTCCAACTAATGGAGACTAAGCAAGTTCTAATAAGGAAAGTAATGTGTGAAGTATTGATAGTATATTGATTGTGTGTACTGTTCTGTCTTGGGCTCCATTTGTTTGTCTATTGAACTTAAAGACGGGAAATTTTGGGAATTCTCCCTACTGAGGGTATGTATGGTAAAAGGGATTAAGTTTATTGTTGCTGAAACTAGAAACTGTGGCATTACTATGGTAATAATATATAGTAATATAACGACGTCTATCTATGCTGCAAAAATAAAAATAAGAAACGAATTTTCTATAAGCACTAGAAATCTAAATTATATATAATTTACTCTTACCTGATTTACCTAATTTAGCACTTCAAATCATATCCTCTATATTAATTTCAATTCTTAACATCTTAAAATTAACCACAATACTTAAGGCAGCTTCACTCTGTTAAGTCAATGTTAAAGTTGTCTATAAAAACTGTACTCAATATGTAAACTAATTTCTTGCCATCTCGCCTGAATTGAATGGATTTATCTATTATTCAATTATAACTATTTTAAGCTTATTAACCCTAGTTCCTGATCATATATAAATATAAATTGTTTTATAATATATTATACAAAATTGATCGAAATTGTGACTAAATACGCCCTGTTTAACAAATGGTTTAGGTATTGGAGAACGTTTGGGTCAGAAATTGGAGCCAGGACCTAAGCAGATACATTTTGCTCGCATTGCCATAGCCATTGTTGTTGTTGTTGGTCATCTTGTTGTTATTGCTGTTATTGTTGTTGTTGCAAGGATACAGGCCCAAAAACTGGCGACAAACAACGCACAATTCGCATTGTTTGGCTTTTGTCAGCAGCAACTAAGCCCCAACTTCATGTGTGTGTGTGTGTGGATGTGAGTGTGGATGTGTGTTGTTGCCTGTCTGGCTTTGTGTGTGTGTGTGTGTGTGGTACTCTAATGCATGTGCTGTGAAATTTTGTGATTTATGACATTAAATGCACAAAAATGGGATTTTATACGAATTTAATGGGTTTTTAGTGTATTTTAATGTGATCCATTTGTGAAAATTTACAGATTGTCGAGCATTCACAACAAATTCATTTGATAGCTTCCAATACACATATATGTATACAAATATAAGTGGATTTTTTTGCAATATGAAAGCTGAACAAATGTCTTGTGATTTAGTGCGTATTATATGGAATAATAGCCCAATTCGAGTCAAGTTCAACAATGCTGCGTTTATTTATTACAGGTGCCTTGAGGGCTGGCCTGGTCCTGGCCTGGCTCTGAGATTACAAAGGCTTACGCTCCACGTGCAGAGTTAGTCGAAAGCCGCCCACAAAGCTGCCAAGCTTATAGAAACGCATATTGAGCCGAAAGCCGCCGCAGGGCATCAAGTCCGGCCAGGTGTCCGTATTAATCAGCAGATTTCTCACATAGTAAACGCCCCGGGGCAAAGGACATTCGTTGCCCGTAAAGGGAAGATTCGTGTTTTCGCCCAGTCGCAGCGTCGTCTTGGCGTAGGTGCCCACAAATAGACGCATTGCCGTGCAGACATCCCTAAGGGGCACAGACAGGATCATCGCACGCCACTGATCACTGAGCCTGGGATCGTGCTGAAAGTCGATGGACATTTGAAACTGCTTCGGATCCATGTCCTGCAGTATGCGAACCGTGCCATTGAGCGCATGATCTTCGCCCACAGTGCTAATATTACGAAAATCAATTAAATGTTGCTCGATGCCAACCAAAGACTCAAAGCTCGTTATCTTTGCAGTGAACACATATAAAGCCTGTCAGGGATTATAATTCTTATTCAACTTTCCTATTATTCAATTACTTCCTTCGTGGTCTTACCCAACCCAGGGAGAGCTTAGCTCTTAGTAGCAATAAATGCAGCAGTATCGCTGCTGCCAACTTCATTTTTGAATTTCGCTAATTGAATCGTTTGCATACATTTATATATATGTATATGGCGCTTCATTAAAATGCTGAACATGTTTTTACAAATATCGCAGACTCGCATCAATTTAATGTGCTCAATTACAGGCAGATATAATTGCAATTTGCTACTAATTACTAAATTCTAATGCCTAAACGCTGCCCGATTAGCCCTTTTTAAAATATTTCACAAATCAGGTTTTGATTTGACTTTATGGCATACAAAGTTTTAATTATATAAGCGTTGCTGATTTATTCATTTTGCATATCTGTCACAGGTTTAATTGAGGCTGAACTATCTAGCTTTTTCATTTAATTGAAATTGCATATTCAAATTTATAATTGTTATCGTTGCGATATTATCTCTGCATTATGTTATGGCTGCTGTTATATTTAACAGAGGCAGAGCAGAGGCAGAACAGAGGCAGAACAGAGGCAGAACAGAGGCAGAGCAGAGGCAGTGCCATTCTGCTGTTAGCTTAACATTTTCAAGGCTAACCCAATGATGCTGCTCATTCTAAGACTTCAAGCTGAAATAAAAATCACATGAATATGAGGGAATATTTATTTAGCTTTTATTTTATTAAATTTATTATAAACCCATTGCATTCATTTATATATTATATATATCTCAGTAAATTTCACCCATACATTTACAATTCAGCACCATGTTTATGTTTTATTTAAGTCAATCAATCAATCAATCAATCACACATCTGTCCAACGCTATTGTTTCTTCTGTACATCAATCGTGATGCTTAAGCCGCCCGCTGGCTTATTTTGCTTGAAGAAACGCAAATTTATTCTCAGTCCGCCGTACGGCAAAACATCTGGCCACGTTTCGGTGTTGAGCTGCAGATTGTTGGTGAAGTATGTGCCCTTTGGCAGCGGGCATTGTGTGCCATCGAACGGCACATTCGTATTCACGCCCAATTGCATTGTGGACTTGCCGTAGCTGCCAATGAAGAAGCGCATTGCATAGCAGACATTGAGGAGCGGCATGGCGAATATCATTGTCTTCCATTGTCCATTTAGGCTCGGATCGTTGAGCATATCCACAGACATTTGATGGGTCTTTGAGTCCATATCCTCGAGTATGCGAATGGTGCCATTCAGAGCGCGCTGACGTCCCACAATGTGCAAGTCGCTGAAATCGATAACCAACTCCTTCTCATGCGGCAAGACGTCAATTTGCAGAATTGATGCGGTGTACTTGTAGAAGCCCTTGGAAAGGGAGAGTGAGAGGGAGAGGGAAAGTGTAGCCTATGTTGGCTTTTGGCTGAAATATGCTGTCATAATCTTACCCAGCAGCTGGACAAATTGACTTGCAGCTGCAACAAACATAGCACAGCTATAAGCAACAACTTCATTTTGCGTCCATTTCAACTGACGCACCCTCCTTTTATATGGCTAATTATTAAAATAGTTTTCATGCAACTGCACAATCTGATTGCAGCTGATTAAATGTTTAATTCGTGCAAATTGCAGCTAATTGCAAATTTGTTAATAGTGGACGGGCTTGGTTGCCTCATGACATTTGGCGTCATGCAGCGTATACGTAATATTACGTATATGCCCTGGCGAACGGCAAGCAAGAGCCATATGCACTACCAATTTATGGCTTCAATAAACATAAAGTTCATAAACTCCCAATTCGCCGTTGCTCATCATTTGCAGCGGATTGTCAGGACTAACAACAGCAGCAGCAGCAGCAGCAGGAGCCGGAGCAGGAGCAGCGACAGTCGCTGTGCAGCGTCGACGTTGTTGCTCGGTCAAATAAATAATGAAAAAGAAAAGTGATGTCATAAAAATTTTATCTCTTAACTGGAATTGAGCAGCATGAACAAACAGCAGCAGCAGCAGGAGCAGCAGCAGCAGCAGCAGCAGCAGCCGTTACTGTGGCTGCAACACAAAAGCATAAGCAACAACAATATCACAACACACACACAGTCAGACACTCACAGACACATACACTTTAGCACTCACACATACATGCATGTGATGCTTGGTCATTTTCATATAAAAATTGACAATGGCGTTGGCCCTTTTTACAGGGCTCTATATGTATGTGTGTGTGTGTGAGTGAGTGTGAGTGAATGAAAGAGTGTGTGTGTGTGTGTGTGTGTGTGTGTGAGTGAGAGTGAGTGAATGAAAGAGTGTGTGTGTGTGTGTGTGTGTGTGTTTTTATCCTTGTATTTGTGTTTGCAAGTGGAAAATGCGACAAAACTGAGGCAGATACTACGCTCTATACATACATACACACACATACATACTCACATGTACATATACAACTATATCGCATAAAGAGCTAACTGCATACGACTACAAAATGCACACGGCATGCAGCTCTATCAGCCAAGAGCTATATAATAGCACAACAGCATTACAACAAATAATAACAACAACAACAACAGCTAGAAGGAAAAGAAGAAGAACAACAACAGCTAAAGGCAAAACCCATTCAAAGTCAACAAAGCAGCTGAGCTGCGATTTCTCTAGCTATTATTGTTGTTGTTGTTTATTTTTCTATTTATACAAAGAAATAAAGGAAATAAGACTGAAAATTCTCAATTTTTTGTTTCTGATACAAAAATGCTGAAGTCAACAGCTAACAGCTTATAGCTAACATAAATTCTATAAGAGATTTTAGGTGAATATGAAATATGCTCCCATATACATGTGTATATTGCTATGCACATTGTAGTTTTACTTAATAAATATTTGTGTGAAAAATTGAGTAGACATATATTAAAATTATAGATAAAATTCATGAAAATTAATCTCAGCTATATTTAATTTTTGTTTCATAAGAATTTAATATAAAAATACATAAAAATTGATTCTAATGTTCATATAAATTATTTAAATTAAAAATCACATCATATTATATTTTAATTTAACATTTAAAACTTCTACAATGACGTCAGTTTTACGATTTTCAACTGTATTATTTTATAATTTTTCCAGCCAGTTTAGCCTTCTACAGCATCCACTAAAAAGCGCTAAAACTTTTCTATGAGCTACTTTCAACAGCTAAATTCACAATTTGACCGACACTAGTTTGGCTTTTGAATTAAGTTTCACTTTTCAAATCGTAAAAACACTAAAACTGTAAAAAACTATTAGAACTTATTTTCAGAGCACAGCTCCAAACTTATTTAGACGCAAAAAAAAATATTTTTGTATATTTGTATTTCAATTTCCAGAGCTATAGAAAAAAGGCAGCAAAACAACTTTTTGAAAAGGTTACGCCCCCTCCATAGCGAACTTTCGCTTTTGACTTTCAATTAAATGATATAAAAAAAGAAGAAGGAAAGAAGTGTGTAAAGGTTGTAAGAATATGCGTATGCCGGTAAACACATTTCCCAATTTGTTGTTGTTGGCTTGAAATGCTTTTAATGTGAAAACTTTGCTACAACGCCTTGAACAACATATTGTTGCCGCTGCCCGACAACAGATGGCGCTGCCAGGGCATGTGGCCAGGTTACGCTTGCTGGTAGTCTCTTCTACGATTCACCTCTCACTTCCTCACCCACTCTCCCTATCTCTTTCTCTCGCACTCTGCCTCTGTCTCGATGATTAAGTTGCAAAAGTTTTGGCTAGGGTAAAGGAAGGCCAACAATTTTTGGCAAACAACGCGGACTCCAGTCCCCGCCTCGAAAAAAAATAAAAAAAACAAGCAAAAGTTCAAGTTGTGTAGGGCAAATGCAATCAAATGTAAGTACAACAACTGCAACAAGGTTTTAAGCTGGCACAGCAAAAGGGGAGCGCGTAGCTGCTGGTGGCATGTGGCAAGTGGCATGCGGCAGTTGGCTGTGTAGTTGAAGCTAAAAGCAAACAAAATATTGAATCTGATTTGCAAACAGATGTGCGCGAGGCACGGCTACAGTCGCTATTTGAGCCTCGCAACTCCCAATCAATAACACATGACTGTGTTGGCTCTGTACAACAAACACACACAGACACAGACACGCATGTTGAACTGGTCTTTATGGCTACGTGACTTGATGTCTCCATCTTGCGCGCCTCTCAGGCCGTAAATAGAAAATGAAAAGCGAAAACAAGCAAATCGAAAGGCAGCCAACCACCCAGCCAAACAGTAAAGCAGGCTATGCAAATATCTACATCGGTTGTCGCCTTTTTACGCACCTACACACACACACACACGCACACTTTACTTTCACATACATACATAGCTAACCAAATATATGCAGATATATATATATATATGTGCCTCTGATATACTTCCTATATTTACATAAAAATGCACTCGATCTGCCTTTGCCCGCATGTGTGTCAATATAAATATATATATTTACATTTGACACACGCACACACACACACATGCACACACACGCATACATCTCTGCTACTTATTCGCACATTTGGCCTGACAATGTTCTCTGTCATACTCCTCTCTGCCTCCTCTTTGTGTCTTTCTTCATGTCTAACACGCTGAGCGTCTAATCGGCTTTGACTTTGACTTTAATTTTCGCCAGCTTTTGTCTGACTTTTTCCCATACAATATTTATACTCGCTCACGAAATGCAGACAGAGTATATTGGTGGTGTTTAATATTCTAATTGATATATTTGACTGCAGTTTTTCAGATCTAAAATATTTATTAGCTCATACGCTTCTAGAAAATTTTCAAAATAATAATATATAATATAAATAAATAATATAATATAATATAAATAATAATATATTTTTTACATTGCAAAATATAATATAAAAGAAATGTACAGACGATTTCCAAAAAATATAGTCGGTAATATTTTCCAAAAATGATCTTCATTATAGATCTTAAAAAAATTATATGCACACACTCACTACAATCACAATGTTTTTTAGATGAAACACTCTGAGCTTGTAGCTTCATAACAGGAGATAATGTATAATAATACAAAAAAATAGTAAATGTAGCATTTACATATGATAATAGTATTTTTAGTTATTTTTAACTTAATTAAGTATTAGACAGTCAGTTACGCCCGACTGCCATATACTTACTACATGTACAGAGTTTTTTTTCCTGGGTCTTCGCCTAATGCACTCTGTGGTAAATATGCCATATCAAAAGTCTCCTACGCACCGCTCGTTCCACATTCAGCTGCAGCTGAGGTATTCCCATTAACTTGACCCGCAGCTTAGCTAAGGCTTGGCGACACCAGCCAAGCTCTTATTCTACGAGCCATTACATAAGCATATACATATATTTACTTAAATGTATATATGTATATATATGGACTATATACTCACATAATGCCACATTCAGTTAGTTAATTGGCTCGACAGCCCCGACTCAACGGTTGGGGCTTAGTGCGAGCATCTTACCGACTTATAAATAGCTAAAGGCTACTCTGCTCCTCCTACCAGCAGAACTAGCTAAAGCGAAGCGGCTATAAAGCTACTTGTATTAATTGTACAGAGAGTTCTACTTAAATTAAATATAAATTATGCTGGCATAGGTATATGTGAATAGAATAGAGCTGTAACTATAGCAACATGAACTAGAGCATTATTCAACATAAATTTTAATTTTATTAATTTTGCCTTAATTGAATTTTATTTAATTCATTTGTATTGTTTAATTGTTTAATGTGTTTATTTTTATACCCTGAACCCAGAGTATAATGGTTTTGTTAATTGAATGAAGCAGGCAGAAGGAGGAGAGGCAGACCCCACAAAGTATATATATTCTTGATCAGGACTATGACCTAACTCGATTTAGCCCTGGCCGTCTGCCTGTCCATCCGTCCGTCCGTCCGTCCATATGCATCAGCGCTTCTATCTCAGAAAATATAAGAGCTAGAGACCACTCTCTCATGTTATCCCTATAAATACATATAAAATTTGGAAGCTCTAGCTCTGAAGGTGTACGAGATATAATAAAATAACTAATTAGAATAATTGATACCCTGATTTCCCATTGAAAATGGGCTCAGGGTATAAAAATGTGGCATTTGTCACGACGTTAAAGCAATTGATGTAATAAAGTTAATAATGTTAGCTTAAAGGCCAAGAATTTAAATCGAGAGTTTTATCCGATTTCATTTTTCATTCTCTACTAAGCCAATTTACATTTTTGTTGCGCTTAAGAGCTAATGCAAAGGTATGCGTGCGCTGTGCGATTAAAAGGGATGAACAATAGATAGAGGATGAGACAGAGAGAGAGAGGGAGAGAGAGAGAGAGTAGACAAAGAGTAACCACAAAATAGAAAGGACACAACATATGTAATATATATATATATATATTTGTCTATACAAGAACCGCAATTAAAATCATCAACAAATTCATTTGATTTTTATTTTTAGATAATCAAAGCTGGAATTAAATTAAATTTCAAATAATTGCTGCAATTAGGATGAGCTGTAAGCAGTGATGCCAATTCAGACCACTTCAGGCTAAATCTGGCCTTTTTAAAAATGGTCTAGCCTATCGATAATAAATCCACTGAAAATGAGTATTGAAATGGAAGGAAGACTATGCCTCTATGTCTACTCTCTTTACTATGTCTACCTAACTACAGAAGATCATCTATGTCTATATGTATGCAGCAGTATTAATTTGGTATTTATATTTAAGTTAAACGAAGCTAGAGTGCTTGTAGCAGAAGAGAGAGTTCCCATTGGCTCAACATTTGAGAGCGATTTAGTGGTTGAGTGAAAGTCGATCTATATAAAGGGCAGCAGCTGCAGCATTTCTTCAGTCGTTCAGACCTGGTGGGGGTCAGTTGTGCAGTGCAGTAAAGTGAAATGGTGTGGTGTGGTCAGGAAATATCACTTAGAAGAAATGCCTCGAAGAAATACTTAAAGGAGAGATTAAAAGAGAAATTTTTAAGACTTAGAGAAGAGTCTTAGAGGAAATACTTAAAGCATATACTTCGAGGAAAGACTTGGAATTATTATATTTGATATTTTATTTTATTATTCAAAGTCTCTAAAAATAATTAATTACTCTTTGTATGCTTTCTTCCATTTTTCATCTATTCATTTTTCATGTTAACCAGTTTCAGCCTTCTTTTATCCACAATCCAACTTATTTCGGAGGTCAACAGCTGACAAGACTGTAAGTATATAAATATTATGTATATATATTGAATAGTAGTTGGCAATTTGATTGACTTTCAGGCCTTATCTGGTTGGGCAATGTAACGTATACGCAACATGCCTAATTGTTGGCCGGCTGAAAAGTTTCGACACAACTTTCATTTGTACACATTTAGCTGCAGGCTAACAAGATGGGGCTGGGGTACGACATCAATAATAAATGGCATTTGGCAAAAGTTGTAAACCTTTTTCGGCACTTATCTGTCACACGTCACACAGCGCCAACATCATTTGTCAGAGCCACAGCAGAGCAGGAGGTGGGCCGGGCAGGAGAAGTCCTGGCCATAGTCAGGCACTGGGCACAATATCCTCTTGTCACGCTCAATTGTTAAAAATGACAACTAATTAATTTCTGTCCGGCTGAGCTGACCAACTCTCATCTGTATATATGTGTGTGTATGTGTGTGTGTGGGCCACTTGGTTTTTGGTTAAAAAAGGCTTGCGATGGGATGTACAGAATGTTTTTATGAAAATCTGATAATGCCCAGATAGACATAGACATGGCAATACTCGAAGGCAGTTTGAAAGCTGTTCACAAATGACTTCATTAGAGGCCATGCCCAGCATAAAAAAGGGGCTGTGTGTGTGTGTGCGTGTGCGTGTGTGCGTATGTAAACATGGCCCGCAACCAGGTCGCTGGCACTTAGCGCAGATAAGCAGCTCAGCTTTGCTCTGCAATGAGGCTTCTGCAAGTGGCTACTAGCTAACCAGCTGGGGATTAAGCCAAGAGCGAGATGGAGCCAGTGCAAGTCAAGGAGATAGAGTGAGAGAGTATGAACGGGAAAGAGAGCAGAACAGCTTGCTTTGCTTTGCTTTGCTTTGCTTCACAAATGCCATCATTAACTGAAGCTGCCTGCTGGCGTTAGCATTGTTTGACTTCGGCTTTCGCTGCGCTAATGATTTGACTGTGTCGCAATCGCTGACACACACACACACACACAGACACACCCAGAGATGCATACAGATGTCTCTTTTTCTGCTCTGCCTCGCCTGCAACTTCTCCCTGTGGTCAGCTTAATGACTCGCCACACAGCAGAACACAGAACAAAAAAAACTTTACTAACTGCATTTAGGTGCATTAAGCGCCACAGCCAAATAAAACACATGTTCCAAACTGTTGACTACTTGGACTTTGCTCATTGCCACGCCCTCCGTGCCCACTTGTAATGCCGCAATTTGTTGCCAAGCTGGGTTTATTACAGAGCTGCGGCTGGCGCACAGCGGGCGACGCGCAGCTTCAACTGTTGCCCTGGTTACTTATGCAAGACATACTTATAGAGATCTACATATATACATATATATTTATATATATACATGTATATATATATACATTAACTCCTACATAGTTGGCACTTGGCTACTCCCAAAAACTTTGAGACAAGTTTCCGTTTCTGCTATATAAATTTTTTTTTTTTTTTTTTTTTTATTTGCGCCTCGTTTTGTTTGCTGGCGACTCTGCAGTTGGTGACATTTTCGGCAGCCAAAAACTTTTGAACTTGGCGCGTAATGAAGCAGCCCACGGGTTCGGGTGGGGGAGCTGGAGTAACGGAGGGGTTTGCAGCAAAGTGCTCGTTTGGCTTTTGAGTGGAGTTCATTACGAATGCCGCCACGCTGCGTCGCGTGTTGACTTATGCATAATTACTGTTTTCTATAGCCAAAGCAGCCGCTGGCCAGGAGCAGCATGAGGAGAGCAGGGGCAGTAGCAAGGCTGAGCATAGGAGCTGAAGCAAAGGCAGAGGCAGGGACCTGGAGTAAAGCCAAAGCAAGCTACAAGACTTGGGCAGAGGCAGAGGCAGGGGCTGGCACAGGGACAGAGTCATGGCTAAGGCTGGCGGGCAGAGCTCGAAGCAGCAGCAGCAGCAGCCTAGCCAAGGCAGATTGTCAGCCAGCGCAAATTTTCTTTTTGCAGCTGCCAGCCAACTAAGCAGCAGCAACAGCAGCAGCAGCGGCAGCAGGAGCAGAGGCAGAACATGTTTGGTGCAGCGTTTCATATGCTCATTTGGTGTGCATGACGCACTGACCTGTTTCAAATGCAACAAAAAGGAAAACGTTTTAAAGCAGAAGTGCAAGAAGAAGAAAATGAGCTAACAAAAAAAAAGGCACTTGGTGCACTCAACTGGATTCTTAGACTGCATGGACGGCCGGAAGAGCAGCAAGTGAACTGATGCTGTTGCTGCTCCTGCTGCTGCTGCTACTGCTACTGCTTATGTAGCATACTTTTTAGCGCCCACTGTAGAGTTCATAAGACTCGGCGGTAGCTGTCGGGTGTGCAAAGTTTTGACCAAAAATATTTATGTGCTTAAGCAGCGTCTAATGAACTCGGCTTGTGTCTTTAATTAAATATATGGGGGCATAACTATGTTAATTTAAGCTTATTTTAGCATGTGAAAAAAAACATTGACTTACTTTCAATATTGCATAACTATATAGAAGTTATATGTTTACCTATATAATCTATATCAGACATAGCATCTACAAATATCTATACATAATTATTATCTAAATGGCTAAGTATCATCGAGCTGTGTAAACAAAATTTATATTTCCTTTATATATATATATATATATATTTTTTTTTTACTTATTTTTTTATCGTGCTTAATTCTAGCAATTAAACTTCTCTCTTGTTTTGAACAATTGTATTCTCTACCCACTGGCAAAGTAGACTTGCTATAAGTTGAACAATATTCCTTGATTATCACTTTATGTATAGCTTATACTCTAAATAAACAAATTGTATGCCATCAACTAAGTAAATAAAATAAAAATTTAATTAAAATCTTTAAGTTGCAGATTAGGCTTTTCGCTAGATTTTTCAGCTGCCTGATCAAGTCTCTCTATATATCACACAGTTTAAACTAAAATCAACTCAACTCAGAAATAATCGCTCTGACTACCTTTTCACATTTCCAAAAAAAATTTAAATTTTGTATAGAAATAGATCTAGGATTGACTAAGGTTGGTTGTTAGTTAAGAATATATAGATAAACTAGTATAAAGTGTATATACATATATATATATATGTAGCAAGTTGTGAGCAGCTCATCTGATAGTCATGCTATGCCCAAGCAACGGAATCCTTGACCAGAGAGCGGGTTGAGTGGGTGGCTGAGTTGGGTGTGCTTGGAGTGTTTGGGTGGTCAGTTTGCTGACGTTTGGGATAAAGTCAAGCGGATAAACAAGAGATTAAAATGTCATAAACAATGCCTTTTGAGCATCCAGCTAAAACAACTTAATGAAAGCTGCAGGTCACACGGGCAGAGCAAGAGCAGGAGCCAGGCCAGAGACGAAGCAGGAGCCGAAGCCGAAGGCAAGCGTAAAGTGTTACGTAAAACTATTTTTGAGACTTGAAAGTTTTTGCAAACAATCAACACGAATACACAAACACAAACACACACAGAGACACTCACACATACACATATACATATATAACCATCTATCTTTAATCCTTATGTGAAGTGTGGAGGCAGCCACAGCACCAGCAGCAGCACCAACAGCTGCAACAAAATGTGGCAGGAGGCGCAGTCAATAAATTTTCATAAAACTTTTGATTTGTATTTATGAGTTTTTTGGTGCGCTGGCAACTGTGGGAATTCAATTAAGTCGATACGATTTGTTCTTCTTGTTTGTTGTTTTTTTGTTTGTTGTTGTTTTATGTATTTATTTATATTTTTGTTGGTATGTTTGTAAAACAATTGAAAAACTTTATTGTGGGCGGGTTCGGGCATACATTAATGATTTATATTATCATACAAGGGCATACGATACAATAAATTTTCGCCTAATGACAAAATAAGGATCGGGCTTAGCTTAAACAAATTCCTGCACATACATTCACACATACACACATACACACGCATAACTCATACACACACACGCACACAAACATAACATAGTGTGCGTCCTTAAAAGTAATTTTTTGTGCATTTTTGTTGTTAACAATTTCAACTTAAACAAAATACTGCATAAAAAGTTCAACAAATGCAGCAGCAAAAGTCGTCGCAAGCAAAACTATATATATCAAGAAATATATGATTAAATTTACGGCTGCAAAGCCAAGAAGCTGCACATGTGTGTTTGTTCTTCTTCTTGTTTGATGCTGAATGTGAAGCTTCTCAACTTTGTGGGCATAAATTTGTACATTGTATGATTTATAAATTGTGAGCGCTAATTTCCTGCCTTTTTTTTTGTTTGTTATTTAAGTATTGATTATAGTAATTATGTGAAGGTAGGAATGAATATTGAATATATCGGATATCGGATATCTCTACTATATATGCACAAAAGGTAAACAAAGAGAATAAAATAAAACAAAGATGAAGCTAAGACGGTAATAGCTACTCTACTCGATCTACTCGGCGCTAGCATTGATCGTGATGGTCTTGCCCTTGGGATCATCGAAACGATCCATGGTCTTGATGTCCATCATCCAGCACATGCCCAGGAAGACGATCACCAGCAAAATGACAATGACGAACAGGCCCATCAAAATGCCGGGCGTTACGAAGCCCACACAATCCCAGGAATCGCCGAATGCGAAATCTGACGGCGTTTGATCACTGAATGGCGCTTGCAGCTGGAGCGAGGTCCAGGTCAGCGAATTAATCTGGTTTTCTTTATTGACGGGTGTATACCAGGTGGTATTGCCGCAGGTATACGAGAAGCTTGGCGGCGCGGTCACTCCAGGCGTACGGAATGTATCGGTGCCATAGGCTGCATTGCTCACCGTATAGTAGCCCTCCTCAGCGCCATAGGTAACGTCAAAGGTGATATCTTTTGAGGCATCGGTTGACAGGGCAACGGAGAACTTAATGCTGGTGGCGTTGGTGATTTTCATGTCGAGAACCTTCAGTGGGGTCGTGGTGCCAGCGGCCTGGTTATAGTACTCAACATTCACGAAGCTAATGGCAAACTGATTGCCACTGAAGAACCTATTGGTAACCGTCTCTGCCGACGTCCAGCGACGGACGCGACGCTGGACAACGGGCGCCGTGGCGGGTGCAGCGAAATACAGATAGGCAACCTTGCACTTCAATTGCTGACTGATGGCAGCAATGGCAGCGTCTGTTTACAGGTAATATTCACGATAAGAATTAATCAATTGAATGGACAACTCTCATTGAGTGAAGCTCACCATGTGACTGGAGCGTTGCGGCACGTGTCTCTTCCACATTCTCAAAGGAAACAATCTGAGCGGTGCCTGCCTCGCATTTGACTGGATGCACCAGCTGGCCGTTGGCATCGACGCTGTTGTGTTCACGCTTCTGGGCAGCTACACGCAATGCCTCAGCCGGATTCTCGACGCTTGTGTAATAGGTCTTGGGGCTGACGCTCTGCAGCTGAGCAAAGCAGGACTGGGCCTCGTTGGTGGAGCACAGGAAATCCTTATTGCTTAACTGGAGAGAGAGAGACAGACACAAATATACTTATTGACAATACACAAGCTAGTTTGCATTTGCACTTACGCCATTTTCCTCGAAGGCCACAACCATGTGATCTTTCAGCAAAGTCGTCAACTGCTCTTGAAATTCAGCCTGAGGCACAGTGCGCAGCGATGGCTTCGTTGCACTGTTATTGAATATAAATAAATGGTAAATAGTTACATATATAAATGTAATATTTGAAAAGCAGCCACCCACCTGTTGGCACCCCATAGAAAAACGGGCGTCTGCTCGGCCAAGGCGACTCCAATGACGCACAAAGCAATCACCGATTTCCACAGCATTTTTAGTTGCGTGGCTCGCTGTTTAATTAAATCAAATTAAAATGAAATGAAACTCGAATCAACAAACGAACATAATTAAACACAATTATAAAATAAAACCAACCAAAAATGAACAAAAACTACAAACGAAAAATGAGCTAAAACTTTTTCGTTTTGCACGGCCCGATTCTCGATTTGCGCTGTCAAGAGTGAAAAAGTTTTCATATGACAGGTCATGTGATGGCCAAGCAGCTGACCGATTGCGAATGCAATTAATCGATATTTCAGTCGATTTGGCATTGACAGTCACGGCGACGCAGTGTGAATGAAAATATGGCCACATCGCAAATCGGCAATAATTACAAATTACTATCGCTCTTATGTTGTGAATGCTGAACCCTAATTTTAGATATATAAATAATAAAAAATAAATGTAACACGATCTATTTAATAATAGACCAAAACAATTATTGCGCAGTATATAATTAGCTCACAATAAATTTGAATATGAATTCAAATTTCAAATAGGTATAATATTGGTCGCAATATTTATGCCTTTATCGCGATAGTTGCTATCGATAACTCAGCCACTAGTGTGCCCTAATTAGAGGCCCATCACTAATAAAAGGCCGACTTAAAATCAATTTCGTTTTATTGTTTTGAGTGAATTGTGTGCAGAACAAAGGGGATTTATTTACTCAACGTGCACGGAAAGTGTGTGGCAATGTAGTGCAAAATAGGTTATACGAAATGCGTCTGCGACGCCGGTGGCATCGGCGGATGCGGCGTACAATTGAGAAAATCTATCGGCTTAAGATGCAGTCGAGACGAAAACTGATTTTCCTAGCAATATTTGGAGCACTCTGCGTGCTGCTCTGGCTGGCAGGGCAGCAAATGTTCAATGCTTCAGATGGCCATTACAGTAGACATTATAGCGAAACTCATTGTGCGCCCATAGATGCCGTCTATACCTGGGTAAATGGATCCGATCCCGATTTTATAGAATTGGTTCGAAGATATGATGCCAACTACGATCCCTCGAGATTCGATGACAAAAATGAGCTAAAGTATTCGCTGCGTTCGCTGGAGAAGCACGCCAGCTGGATAAGGCATGTGTACATTGTGACCAATGGCCAAATACCCAGCTGGCTGGACTTGAACTATGAAAAGGTCAGCGTGGTGCCTCACGAGCTGCTCGCTCCAGATCCCAAACAATTGCCCACATTCTCTAGTGCTGCCATTGAGACGTTTATACACCGCATACCGAAGCTGTCCAAGAGGTTTCTCTATCTCAACGATGATATCTTTTTGGGTGCTCCATTGTATCCGGAGGATTTGTATACACAGGCGGAGGGCGTGCGTGTCTATCAGGCCTGGATGGTGCCCGACTGTGCCTTGGATTGCCCCTGGACCTATATAGGCGACGGTGCGTGCGATCGCCATTGCAACATCGATGCCTGCCAATATGATGGCGGTGATTGCAGTGAGGGCGGCATTGGAGCAGCAGCGGCTGGTCAACTGCAGCATGAGCTGCACCAAGCAGCTGAAGTAGCTGCTCCTGTGGCCCACCCGCCTGTACATAAGTTTCCCAATATGGGCTTGCAGCAGCTGTTCAAGCGCAGCTCGACCAACTTTAAGGAGCTGATGAAGCATCGCAATGTCTCCACTCTGCTGGAGCTGCGTCGCATTGTGGAGCGCTTCAATAAAGATAAGCTGAAGTCCCTCAACCCAGAGTTCGATGTGAGCAGCACCAGCTCCAGCAAGCTGCTGCACAAGGAGGACTTCAAGTCCTCCACAGACATCTACTCGCACTCCCTGATAGCTACCAATATGCTGCTCAATCGCGTCTATGGCTTCAAGGCGCGCCATGTGCTGGCTCATGTGGGCTTCCTCATCGAGCGCGACATTGTCGAGGATATGCATCAGCGCTTCCAGCAACAGGTGCAGCAGACAGCTCAACAACGCTTCCGTGCGGCAACGGATTTGCAATTCGCGTTCGCTTATTATTCGTTCCTGATGAGCGAGACGAGAACGCTCAGTGTCGAGGAAATATTCGATGAGTTCGACACGGATGGCTCGGGCACCTGGTCGGATCGTGAGGTGCGCACATGCCTGACACGCATCTATCCGCCACCGCTGGATTGGTCAGCGATGCGCTACTTCGAGGAGGTGGTGCAGAACTGCACGAGGAATGTGGAGCAGGATGTAAACAGCAATAAGATTGTCCACTCCACATTGGTCTATGAGCGCTACGAGGATTCCAATTTGGTAAAAGATGAAGTAGCCAAATCCTATATCATAGTTAACTAATTTCCTCTTGATTCTGTAGCCCACCATCACCCGCGAGCTGGTCTATCGCTGTCCATTGCTGGCCGAAGCGCTGACCGCGAACTTTGGCGTTCGCCCCAAATATCGCTTTCACGTCAGTCCGAAGCGCGCCTCGCACAGCAATTTTATGATGCTCACCTCGAATCTGACGGAGGTCGTGGAGGCGCTTGATCGCATGCGTCGTAATCCACGTAAATTCAATTGCATCAACGATAATCTAGACTTTAAACGTGGCGAGGACAATGAGCTGGTGCGTCATCTTCTCGAGGATTTCTATTTGTCCTTCTTTCCGCGTCGCAGCAAATTCGAACTACCGCCACAATTCCGTAACCGTTACGTCTCCTGGACGGATTATCAACGTTGGCGTCGACGCAAACGCGCCGTCCTCGTGGTTGGCTATGGAGTTAGCCTGCTTCTGGTCATTTTTCTACTACGTTTGCTCTGCCAGCACAAGGCGAAGATCGTGCGCCGTTGTGTGCAGCGACTGTAGAGGATATATATGCCTATATATGTATATGTATTTACTGATATTAATATCAGCCTTAAGGTTGTGTTCGTTTTGCTTAACATTTCACTTAATTTCGTATTGTGATAAGTTTTAATTGAGATTATCGCCATTTCCATTCTAGTTATATAGAACATAGAGCTCTGACTGTATCTAATTTAAGCGCAATCATGAGGCTAATTTTAAGCGTGGCAAACTGGAAAACAGAGAAATCTCTTAATTTGATGAGGCTAAATGAACTCTACAATTAGTGTAATACATACGTAAATAAATAGAATTTTTAAAATATTAACTTACTCTTGTTTTAACTACAAATTAATGGCTAAACAGCGATTGTTTAGCTTTTTATGT